TTTTTGGGAGCTTTAGTTAAAAGTTTCTGGAAAAGTAAAATAGGTAGGTTTTTGAAAATTTGTACTTAGGGGTTACTCTGAAGGCCGAATCGATGTAAAATATTTTCAAAATGGCCGCACTTCCGGAAACACCGGAAGTAGATAGTAACTTCGTTATTTTAAATGGCAACCCCTATTTTTTATTGCATTTTTGGATTCTACGTGAAATTTCAGTTCTTTTGATACCCATATGTCGATATCTGCCATTTATGGTTTTTAAGTTATTTTGACTTTAAGAAAAAAATGGCGGATGCAGATGGTACCTTGATAATTGATTACTTGAAAAAGGTTATAGTCATGGCAACCCATTTTTATCAGTGCATAGAGAATGAATGGGGCTTTCTTTTACTGTACTTAAAACAAAGTTAAGTTGCGTACAACCGCACCTATGGAGATCCAAATTTAAGAAACTTCAAAGTCTATAAACTCAGTTTTTTTTTAAATGGAATGACCATGTTCTTAATATTGCATGAGATAGAGAATCGAAATTGGCATATTTTGATATTACATGTTCCTATAGCTATCTTTAACAGTTTCTGATTTATTCCCATTTCATTGAATTGATCTCGGAATTGATGCCATTTTTTTCGCATTTTCTTTTTAGTAGTTGGCCATGATTTTATAACAATCGAATTTTAAACAAATCAAGGAATGGATTCTTTAATACCATTGATTCTAGTTCTAGTCTAAATAATTCATTAATAAATAACTCATTTATTAAGGATATAGGACGGAAAATTTTTGAAAAATCTAAACAGAGTCGTTCAACTGAATTTCTTAAACAACGTATAAGTCTGGAAATTAAGAGAGGTAATGCGATATCTGTTCTAGCAACAATTCCATACCAAAAATGTTTCAACGAAGTTTTTTATATTTTGCATTGAATTTAATTTGTTAATCTTGCATTTGCAATTCAATTCATTTTCTTAAATATTCTCTTGTAGAGCTTTGTATCACTTATGCTTCAACGGTTTGTAGTGCATTAGGGGTACAAAATTTCCAAAATTCATACAATTTCGTTCCAGTTTTCGAATGAATGTAAGGAAAGCACGCGCCGCGATTCTGCCCATTTCACCATAAATAACAATTAAATTCCAAAATAGGTGAAACCACTGCGAGTCATTTTTCGATTTTTGAAAAACTTATGTTAACCTATAACAGTGGGTGATGGATTAGTGTCACTAGATTTGTTTAAAATTCAATTGTTATAGAATCATGGCCGACTACTAAAAAGAAAATCCGAAAAAAATAGTGTCAATTCAATAAAATGGGAATAAGTCAGAAACTGTTAAAGATAGCTATAGGAACATGTATTGTCAAAATATGCCCATTTCGATTCTCTATCTCATGGAGTAGTAAGAACATGGTCATTCCATTTAAAAAAACTGAGTTTTTAGTTTTTGAAGTTTCATAAAGTTGGATATCCATAGGGGCGGTCGTACGCAACTTAACTTTTTTTAAGTGCACTAAAAGAAAGCCCTATTCATTCTCTATGCACTGATAAAAATGGGTTGCCATGACTATAACCTTTTTCAAGTAATCGATTATCAAGGTACCATCTGCATCCGCCATTTTTTTTCTTAAAGTCAAAATAACTTAAAAACCATAAATGGCAGATATCGACATATGGGTATCAAAAGAACTGAAATTTCACGTAGAATCCAAAAATGCAATAAAAAATAGGGGTTGCCATTTAAAATAACGAAGTTACTATCTACTTCCGGTGTTTCCGGAAGTGCGGCCATTTTGAAAATATTTTACATCGATTCGGCCTTCAGAGTAACTCCTAAGTACAAATTTTCAAAAACCTACCTATTTTACTTTCCCAGAAACTTTTAACTAAAGCTCCCAAAAAAACACCCTGTATATGTTCTGTTACAAAATTCCCCAGATATCCAATTCAGTTCAGATATTGCAATATTTAAAACCCTCACGAAAAAGATTAAAGGAAAAACGATAATTCTGCAATTTTTATTGGCGTTTACGGACGAATGCTTTTGACCCTTGTTTTATTTGGAAAAAGTATTTACTTTTGTTGCCTTCCAACCAATTTACTTTTGGTTACGGGTACTCATGTGTTACATCTGTTAGAAATCATGTTTCTATTTCTTACTTTTATATTTAGGTTGTCTCTTGGAGCCTATGGATTTATTTAATTATTTATTTATTGATTTAGCCTATGGATGTACTAAATTAATTATATTTCACTACTTACGAAACACTTTTAACAACAAACTATTTATTGTGATGTGGTTGTAACTCAAAAACAATAGACGAGTACCAGCATTTCCAACACAATCCCATAACATGACACAACTCATGCTGAAGGCTTGTCGGAGGTTTTACCTACTAGTCTTCCGTATCACGTTTTCATCGCAGTTTCGAAGTTTTCAGCTTTTTACAGTACATTCAAACACCGTTAGATTAGATATGGCAATAACATTAGAAAACATAGATGTTATAATCATGGATGATGGTTGGATACGAGAACTGTTTAATTCATTCATCAATGTCCATCCCAAACGCGTGTAAATGGCAACTATATCAACTCCAACTAGCACAATCTATAGTTCCATCTGTTGTATCCGTTATTTTAATGCCCATCTGCTGCAATTCTTCTAACCAAGGTCCTTTTCTTACAGAACTAACATGGCTACAGATCAGAGGCTAGTCTAGGACCTCAAAATTGCAGCTGTATTTTCCTGTCATCGTATACAGACAAACTTATAACATATGTGTTCCACCGTTTCGGTTTGTGTACCACCAGACAGAGAGTGTACTAGTTCTTGCTCTCGAATAGGAGTGTAACCCATTTCTTCGGCAACCTTTCTGGTAACGTAACATTTGTGGGAACCAGTAGATATTATATAGAAGTGGGTCCTAGTTTCCTAATTCTACAACCATGGTTTGCAAATAAACTTCTGTTGGTCAAATTCTGCTCTTCCTTTGTCACCATTCTGGAAAGCTTCTTTATTTACGGCTGCCTTTGATTCTTTTTTTGGACACATAAGAAGGCAATGTTTTCGACATCTTCGTGCAATATGACCAAACTTCGTACACAAATGAGAAGCTGATTCTGACAACCGCTGCCTTCTTTCCACCAAACTAAGTTTAAAGAGAGGAGTGGGGCAAAAAACGCACCTTGGGGTTCCTTTGTTGAAGAGTTTGGATACTGTTGGTATATTACTTGTGCTGTTACTTGCACTTCTTTCTTCTTGTTTTCTGTTATCCTTAAATCTTATGGCTAAACTTCCTGCTTTACAAAATCCATTAAAGCATCATGAAAAAGTATCGAAAGCTTATTCTTGGTATTGAGATTTGCTAAAACTAGCTTCATGAGTTCCTCAATCAATGCATCCTCTTCACCAAATCTTTGTTTTAGGCTTTGACATAATTACCATTTGTCGCAGGGTAACTTTCTACAATTTGTCTTACTCTGGAACTTGGAACGGTTTCCTGACTAAGTATGTCCCCCTCCTCCTCCATGTCAGAATTCTCATCAATCTGACTAAATTGATTCCAGAAACCGAGCCATCCTTTCGAATCGGCAGCATATTGACGAAATTCTAGCTTGTGAATTTTCAGCTTGCTTTTTGATTCATTGATCGATATTTTCGTTCGGACAGATTAAATTCTCAAAACCGAATTTTATTTGATATTATTGCGAGCTTAAATTATCCATTAATCTACCTCAGTATCAATAGTGCCCTTATAATCATCTGAATCTAAGATCATATCCAACATAAGTTGATGTAGTTCAATATAATGTAGCGGTTTTTCATCTAATACTTTTACATTACCACAAAGGACGAGTTGCCTCGTACCTTAATCTGCATAAAACAAGCACGCAAGTCAGATTCGAACTTTAATCTCTCAAACACCGATTTTAGACTTAAGTTATAGCGCCCACACAGAAAATTTCATAGCCCGTTTGCAAGTTAGCAAACGAGCATTAATGTTTTAAAGACGTTTCGGATCTTGAGTTTTAGGGAGCAACTTTTGCAAGTTCTCACTAATCGTGTTGTGCGATGTACATGGCCATTTGTTTTTTGTGTCTCGTCATGATTTCATTGTAGTTTGTATGTACTGTGGGATTGTCATTGTATAATTCAGCCATTTACTCACTTCCTCGCTTGCTAAATTATTTACGTTTTTCAGCCCCCGATCCTGTGTTTTACAATTTACATCCCACAACATCAGTGTATGATAGCCATAACTGTACTTTTCATTGTTAAGATCGTTAAAATAACGATTATCGATAAAGGGTTGTTTTACAATCTATTTGCATCTATTTTCAAGTTCACCTTCTAATTTGGATGATACTGGGCCATTTAGAAAAAAAACCTTCAACTTATTCAAAATTCAAGGCAGTCGCAGGCTAACTTCCATTTGTCATTAATTTATTCCTACAAGGAACAAAAGGACGAGATCGTGTAAAGCAGGTGTATAAATGAAAGCCTGTTAGCGCTACATTCATAACAGTAATGAAGTCCTATGTATTGACGCAATTCTGACGCGCGTGCACCATTTACGTAGCAGGGGTATTCCCCTGGAACGACATTTCGCGCACAAACACTGTAGATATAATTAAATTGCTGCACGTTATAATTAGTTCGATGATTGTCAAAAGGGTTTTTTTTTTATCGGAAACCGCCCCTCGGTTCGACTTTTAATTTAACAGGTTTATTTTGAACAATTACCGTGACAGAATAAGAATTTTCGGTCATAAAGCTACAAATTGTAATCGTGTATTCAGCCCCCTTTGACAGTAACAAGGGATGGTTACAAATGTGATGGCGGGCAAAGCTGCAATATGCAAATTGCTTTATCTGTCAGTGAAACGTAACAAGCAATCAAATTATATTAACCATTAGAAAAGAGGTTCGGTTATCCTCAAACATACTGGCGCGTATCAATAGGAGGTACGTAATTGAAATGCAATATTGCAATATCTTGTACAGGAAATTATTCACGATTGGCATGCGAAATACAATTCGTTCGTTCAATGGGTTACTACCTCATCCAAATATATATCCCGTCCGGCCTGATTGTCATCATCTCCTGGGTGAGCTTTTGGCTTAACCGCAATGCAACTCCCGCAAGAGTGGCATTGGGTGTAACCACTGTACTCACGATGACCACGCTGATGTCATCCACGAATGCGGCATTACCCAAAATTTCGTACGTAAAATCAATCGATGTATACCTCGGTACATGTTTCGTAATGGTATTCGCCAGCCTTTTAGGTAAGTGCGGGTAATCGCATCGCGGCACTCCTCAAACGATTTGTTTCAGAATACGCAACCGTTGGCTATATGGCCAAACGTATACAGATGCGAAAAAATCGTTTTCTCGCCATACAAAAGATTGCCGAACAAAAGAAGATAAACGTCGACGGCGGGCCGGAAGGCGATCACGTGCCCAAACAAACAGTAAGTTTGACCCTATTTTCAGACGAAAGCGACCTCAGGGTGCGTTTCAGGCGGTCAGATTTAAGCACAGCAAGGGAGGCACTTTAGAGAGTACGGTGAACGGCGGTCGGGGAGGAGGAGGAGGCGGTGGCGGTGGCGGCGACGAGGAGCAAGGGGGCCCTATTGCCCAGCACATTATTCATCCGGGAAAAGACATCAACAAGCTTTACGGAATTACGCCTTCAGATATCGATAAGTACTCCAGAATCGTGTTTCCGGTGTGCTTCGTGTGTTTCAATCTTATGTACTGGATTATCTACTTACACATCTCCGATGTGGTCGCGGATGACCTAGTGTTGTTGGAAGAGGACAAGTAAATAAATTTTTGAAAGGAACTCATAAACATTCGTGAATTTTTAATAAAGTGAGACTCGGAGCGAATGAATTCCAATAGTACATAAACCAACGACCCTTCTTTAGTAGACAATTTAGCCAGTTCGCGTAGCCTTCACTACGGAGATATTTTATATAGAAGACGTTTCACCCCGTTGCAATTTGAATAGTATCTAAATACCTACAGCGCAGGATTGCGATTCTGTTATTTTTATTCGCAAAGTTTAACGATATATTTTATACCGATGATTTATTCTAGCTTAGCTTAACTTATCTACCTATAAGTTCCCTTTTTGTACTTCCGGCACCGACCATGGCCGCACATAGGTAGAACCAAGCACCGTTCGCAACTCCCTGCATCCCCAAGAACAAAAAAAAACAATGCTCCTGCAGGGATTGCCACCAAAACACTATAAAGCCGTTGACTCGGCGAAACGAAATTCTAAATTGTAATATAATTACTATAGTTAGAATATGCAAATAGACATTACGAAATTAGCAACACTGATTGTAAATATAATTAGATACCGTATAAGCGTAAGTGATAACTATGGTAGTAGCAAATAACATCGTTAAAACGATTACGAACTATAACCTGAAAAACGATGCACTGAGTTTAAAAAATCGACGAAGGGGCGCTCTCATGTAAATAATAACGTTACCACACATTCCATACGTTACCACCACTTCATACTGTTTCCCGACTTCCGCACTTTGCACAAAGGTCAACAATTTGAACGTTACGAAGCAACATAATAATTTCCTTCTTATGAAAAAAAAATGAAATAAATCGCACCTAAACGGACGCGGCCACAAACTGACGGTCGTTTCAGTCAACAAATCGTACGTCAATAAATTTTCGGTTTTTCAGTTTGAACGTACAAATTCAGGTTGCTGTCAGTAACGGCGGGTCCGTACAGGCGAAAAATGCAAAGACTTCTACGGAATTCTCTCCATTTTTCGCGAGCGACTTTTGCTCACATCTGAATATTCTAAAATAATAAAAAATAATCTATGTATTATATTATCACAAACATTACAGTTATTTACATGATTACGTATGACGTAGAATTATTAATATTGTTTGACGTTTTTATTTAAATGAAATAAAAAGAAACTTAATCACGTCTTTTCAATGGACCCCTCACTCCTTGCCTCATCGCTTAGGGGTGGAATTTTCCTAATTACGCTAACGGAAGTACAAACGTGCGTTCGCATATTTGCTCCCGTGGAACACACGTGGGTAGGAATATCTGATCAGGTAGGCACAAAGCTATGGCCCGTGAAATTTGCACATTTTACTGCTTCTAGTGGATCAATGCACTTTAATTAGCATTTGTTACCCTCGCTTTTCCTTGGCACGACACTCCGGTTAAATCTAAATTTTGCCACTGTCCATTAAATAGGGTAGCATTCGTTTTTATTAAAAATGACATTGGGCTTGTAATGATTTATTTTCTGGAATTTTAACCAGCCGCCTGACCCAGTTCTCGTATATATTATACGATGCGGTTTATTTCCAAAATCCAAAACAGTAAAACTTTTACGTTCTTTATAAATATAAAAACTGAAATAGCGCGACGACGTTGCAGATATACTCTCGATGGATTACTGCTTTCTTTGTCAATATTACATATCGCGGAAAAGTTGTCATTTATTTTATCCCATGTATTTATTGATTCCTGTACCACCTCTAACACATCATTCATAATTTATGTACTTACCTCATAGTCGGGGCTAAACGCTTAGAAAAGCTCTCCGTTTCCTTGCAAGAAGCATTTCATGTAACAATCGAGTTAAACGCGTTACCCCCATAACTCAACTCTACTGAATCTGAAAACGCCGTTTGCCAGCTCGAAATTCCAACCGGAAGTGAGTTATTCGAGATGGCGTCCAATTCTGCTTTCGGTCATATACGATCCAGGTGTATATTCCTATGTTTTCGGGGGCGTAGAACACGATTAAACACTTAAAAATAAATTTGGTGCATTAAAATACCATTAAAAGTCACATTTTAACGTTCACCAAGATTGAAAAAGTTAGGTGAAAATGTGTATTAAATGCTGTGCTATGTTTGAGGGATTTCGGGCCACGTTTAAATACTCAAAAACATAAAACTAGAAAACTTGATAAACATCTCCCATTTCCTTTTGTAACTTACTCTTAAATGTTTTCCGCTGGGGTTCAAATTATAAGGGGACGTTAATGATTAAGTTTTTTGTTAGTTGGACGTGTCACACCTCGTCCATTTCTAAGATCTGTAAACAAATGTTTGAATAAATGAAATGTATTAATTTGTAGGTTTTAAAGAAGGCTTTAACAAAACCCGCGTACCTACCTACTTTTAATCGAGAGAAACGGCTACACTAAGTTCCTTGCAGATTTGCAGGAAATGTAGCATGTTTTTTTCACTACTAACGTCTGATAGCATGATTATTAACCTTTTTTCCACTTCTAAAGTAGGCTTTCTCGATAGTTGTTCAAAGTGGTTAATAATGTGCTCATTATTGACTAGTAGTCAATAATGAGACCAACTTTTAGAAATCCCAACCCGAAATTTTGCTCAATAAACGTTTAGTTCTCTAAATTGAATAATTGGCACCATACGCCATTCCAAGAGAAATTACATACTTAAAATTATCACATTTTGAACAAATTCGAAAGAAATTATACTCTTTGAAAATATATAATGACAGAACAAAATTCGATCTGCTTGAATTTTACTTCCACATAGGTATTTTGTTGACATGTACATTATATACCAAGGCAGAGAAGTTTAGTATTATCACAGATCTAAACACTCTTAAATCTGTGGTATTATTTCCTAAGCGCCAAGACGCCGAGGGGTGTAAGGTGCGAAGCTGATTCTCATACATATGACTGAAAGCTGAAAAACACCTAAATTTGCCACTATTTTAGACGCCATCTTGAGTAACTCACTTCCGTTTGGAATGTTGAGTTGGCAAATGGCATTTTCGGATTCAGCGGGTTCGAATTAGGGAGGTAACGTTTTTAACTCAATTGTTACATGAAATGCTTTTTGCATTTGAATTTTCGCAAAACAAGACCCGACTATCAGCTACAAATAACATTTATAGTAGCTACAGTAGTATAGTTCAGTTTTAAATATATAGGTTAACACAGGGGCGGACTGGCCCGGGGGGGGGGGGGGGGATTGCCACCTGGCCTGTAGATCATAATGGCCCGTTGGAAATTTATAAGTATGTGCTGTATTTAGTTTCTTGCAGTATTAATAAATTATTAACACGTTTCTCTAATTGGGGTTGATGTTAGGTTGTTAAAAAATTCTGTTTTAATTGAAGTGGTTTACAATGAATTTATCATTTTTTGTCGTAGCATGAAAGTGCTGAAATACAATGATAAGCGACGCACCTCGTGTGAATTGTATATTTTGTTACTTTTAATTATCAGCTGCAATTTAAAAAAAAACTGTATGGTAATTGATTTTCGAGAAAGGAGTACTTTAAAATGTTTTTGTGGTGCACCTCAGAGCTAACCCCCCCGCCACCTTCATTACTACACTAATACTTTAATGGCCCGTAACCTATGCAATTCCACCTGGCCAGTAAGTACCCAGTCCGCCCCTGGGTTAACATTTACATTGCTATTATTAAAGACTATCTAGAAGAGTTATAATAAAGCTCTTGACTTCACCATTGCATCCTTTCGTATCACATTAACAAGTTATCATTAAGTTTAATTAATTAATTTGATGTCTGGAAAAAATTTTCTGTTGGATTAATTAAATAAATTTTTTGGTCGGAAAATGTACAAAGAAAAGGCTAGCAATCTAACGTATTTCCAACGAGTCTGATGGCAAGTTTTTAAACATTTTCTAGTCAAATTCCAAACATTTTACATGCTCACAAGTCACACCACACGCCATTTTTTCTGAATCACCGGAAAATACCCTCAAATCATCTTACTTGTACGAATCATATACAGTGAAATTTATTAAGAAGTAGACATAGGGATTTACCTGTATTGTTTTTTCCTATCTCTACTTTTAAATGACATAATTTGTTCTGAAGAGCGCCTGTTTAATGCATCCAAAATAACTTCTTAAAACAAATAAAGATCTGGCGGTCATATTAATTAATTTTGAATATTGTTACTATTTATTAAAAGGTAGACATAGGGAAAAATAACACACGTAAATCCCTATATCTACTTCTTAATAAATATCACTGTATGTAAATGAGCGGACTGTATCTTAGTGTTAAATCTTATCTTACCTTTAATTTTATGGGCGAGAAGGAAAAGGAAATAACCAAAGGAAACTCACCTCAATCAGGTAAAAACTCAAATTTTAACTTTTCTGGCTGCTTTAACTTAACCATTTTACATGCGAATAGTTGAACATCAAATTTACCTATCTGTGTGCACGCATTAGTTTTACGCAAGTAACTAAAATTGTATTATTTATCAAAGTAAAAGTAATAAAATCGCGGAAAGTTTAAATTTCTCATTAACAATACACACACAAACTAAATAGGCAGTAAAAAAATGCTTATTTAACACTTCATAAAACACATGTTATATTTTTGTTTTTTCAAGAAACAAGTGTTGGATATTTGCTTGTACCCAAATTATTATTCAAAATAGCTATTGTTGCAACCGCCAGCCAGTCATACAGGAACCAATTAAACAATTGTTTGAAGATCGTCATCGTCTAAGATGAGATACAAAGGCAATGCCTCGGTATTTTAACATTGCAAGAGCTGTAAGTAATTCTACTTTTAAATAGAAATTACGCATTATTAGGGGGGTGCATTAAACATCTTTCAGTTCTATATCCTTGTAGGCAAACCATCCTATATAGAAACATCTTCCATTGTTTAGCCTCAGCACAAACATCAACCTCACTCTACAGAAACAAATACCACACTATTCTTTAAAATTACTTAACCTCTCACCCAAGTTGATCGCGCTTCTTTGCGAATACTAGGGGACAGGGGTTGACTTTGGTGGTGCTCCAAATGTTCTTCTTTATTCAATTGTTTACCCTTAGAGGACTTTCCAGCAACTCCACACTCTAGAAGCAAGCAAAAGGAGGTATCTGACATCGTTGTTTAAAATTGCACAATCTACAGGGGAGGACTACTAAGCAAGGCAAATATTTGTTGCACACTCGCAATGCTTGATTCGTATAAAAGCGGCTTTAGTTGCTGTCTTCAAACTTATGTGTGTTTTTGTCGCCATTTTGGGAGTGCAACTGACAACTGTTTTTCTATTTTTACGATTGTATGAGTGCGGGCATCATCAAGTAATACAACAATTTCAATATGTAAACTGCAATTTATACCTATCTTTACCCAAAATCGTCATAAAACCTTCATTTTCATCCCAACTTTATCTCAGGAAATTTTAGTTTCCATGACAGACCAGACTTCTGGTCAGATTCTATAATGACTCTCCTGTCATCATCACTTACAAATTGATTTTAATCAAAAGTTCCATATGAAAATTGAAATTTTATATTAAAATACGATTTTGGGTAAAATTTAATACAAAACTCGTCAGTAAAATGGCCCTACTTGACTCTGAAATATTTCCTCGCCTGTTATGTGTCCTGACTTTTATGTAAATAACTAAAACAAAAATAGTATATAAATATGAATAGTATCGAGATTATATTTTATTTAAAAAGATGCAAATAGAATTTTTACACTACACAGCGCGATTGTATAAATTCAATAGACCATTGCATTTTGACTATGCTTTTACTTATATATAACCAATTTATATACTTACTGTTTCTTTTTAACATCCTTAGCATAGCACTAAAGCATAGATTGCTAAAATTATTTATGGAGTGCATTTTGCAGAGGTAGTGTTTTCTCATTTAACATTTCTGAAAATAATTACACCTTCATATGGTAGCTTAAGCCTTTCGTGTGATTTAAGCCTTTTATACAATTCACAATTACAATTCCTTTTGTAAAAGGATTTAATTACAAGCGCTTTTATAGCAGTGCTAAAAAAAGGCTTAATTCCATTGGATTTAATTCACCAAATGGAATTAAATCACGAATTAATCTCATTTTGAATTAATTCATGCCCAGCTCTGGTTAGTACCCACCTCCGACGTCCCGTTCACCCACAATTCGAGTTTGAAGTTTTAACTCCACCACCAGTAAGATTTGGTAGGGGGTAAGTGACAACCACATTCCCTTTGTTGGTAGCATAATTCGCATTTGGTGAATTTCGCTAAAAACCCGCCACAAAATAATACTCAATTTTTAGGTACTTCTCATAACTCGAACTTTTATTGGGCACACGGGAAAGAGAGACCGTGATTCGAGCTCTAGGAAACTTTTGCGCGCCCAAAGTCGACTACCCATGGAAGAGTCACCACGTTAGTGATCCAACCTCGAGGAATTTTGTTTTTTCCTAGAGAGTCTTTAAGGGGTAGTCGAATTCGGTTCCCCAAAAGATACATTCCGATGCGAATTTTGTCACGCGGTCGCAGTAACTGGGACGACCCCTAGCAGAATAATAGTAATAATAACGGATTAATATCTCTGACCCAGTAAATCCTAGAATATTGCGATAGAAGCATATAAGTAATAAAAAACAGCCCGTCATTGTTTTAACAGTGCATAATCTAAACGAAGCTGCTTTTGCATAAACTTACGTATTGCTATGGGATAATTTCTGTGGTGTTTCCTACCCTTATGGACCCCCATCAAATGGAAGGAAGTTATTTGTTAATTTAAAATTGCATAATCTCTCGGTAAGTAAGGCGGCCTACATTTCTAAATTCTTTGGTGAATCAACTCGTTCTTTACACCGGTTACCGTTGGAGGCTGCACTATCGTTATGGTAATTCTTGGTATTATCTTTAGCTTGTTATACCTTCCCTTACCTGTTAATCTCAGCTGGATCCAGAGTAGACTAGTATGAAAGTTAAAATGTAAGTTATATTATTAGGTATGTTTACAAATAGATTTTTGGAAATATACGAGTATGTACAGTTATGTTTAACGTGCCAGGAAGGGGGGTAGCTTCTGTTGTTCTTTTCCACCCCCATTCTAAATTTAATTATGTACATTATAAAGTGGGTAGTTCATGTAAGTTCTGTTTAGTTCTTATAGTGCAAGTTAACTTCTTGGCGCTGCTATTACCAAGATAAGCTTGAGCGGAACATGGTGAAAACGATAAGAACCCTTGACAAACCTGACAACACATGTTTCTTTATTTATTTCGAACTTTTCATCGTTAATTAATCTATTGAGATTACTTCTACAAAGAATCGCAAAAGTACGAGTCTACTTTTTTTAAGTTTAGATGATGATTGTTGAGAAGCCTATTGCATTTACATCAAGATCGATAATAGCATCAGATGTGAACCACGGTCAACTTCATACTTCATAGGGAAGTTTTAACAATAGTATTCGCTTTAAAGAGATTCACATTATTACCTGTATGGGGAAAACAAATTCTGTATCTAGACAACCGTCCATTGACTTACATTCTCAATGAAAGTCTAAAACTTCCAGCTATTACTTCGACAACTGATACCGAATTCTCTACAAGAAGAAATACTTCAACTGCTACGTACTCATTTAGCGATTGTTAACATGAAACAGTGAGCAAGAGGATGCCTATGTTTATTGGAATAATAAAGTTCAAGCAATCGAACGTGTAGTCAAATCATGCCAAGAATGTAGGTATACAAATTAAGAAAAATCCTGTGGAAACTGCCCTTCATGTTAGGGTTGTAATTTTCGTGTTGGATCATATAAATTTGTTTGAAATTTAAGTCTGCATGACCTACAGAAAGGACTATAATTTTGTTTGTATCTTCTGTGACTTGTGAGGATGTTTTAGTGGTTCAAAATCAACTCTGTAGGTAACGTTTCATTAGGACTGACTTTGGCTAGGACATTGCACAATTCTTAAGAAAGTGCTTGGTTTGTAATTTTCGGGTAGATTATGTAAATTTATTTGAAATTCGGGTTTACGCATCCTGCACAGGGGGAAATATTATTTTTTAATGGGCCAATTTTTTTAATCGTCTGTAGGGTTCGAAAGTAACACTGCAACAGCGTACAGGAAGAAGGAAGTCACGCGTTCTAACATCATTTAGTGATAGAGGCTTGTAATTCTATTGATAGATCATATAAATTTGCTTGAAATTCGGGTCTGGATGACCTACACCTTCTAGTATCCATTGAATAAATGATTGCCCATTAACGTAGACTATTATAGGGATATAATTTTTGTATAGGTACACAATTTTTTTAAATCTTTTATAGAGTAGCTATGTTGTGGTTGTTCAAAAGTAGCACTGAACTTGTGCTTAAAAGTGCTACTTTTCGTTGCATTAAAATTGCACAATTTTAAAGAAAAAAGTCAATGTAAAATTTGTAAAGCCAAGTGAGACCTATGTACTTAAATGTAGTATGTGATCTTGTGCAATGAACTTATGATTTACGTGACACTTAAATGACGCTTGACTTGACTTTATTTTCGGGGTAAATGAAATAATTTTGTTTGAAATTCGGGTTTGTGTATCCCAACAGAAGGGGTTGTGACCTTTTGGATAAATAATAATAACTTACGAGTTCGAATATACACGTTTTCTATACACTCGCAGACCTGTTTTTGGGGAACACCAAAAACCATAAAAAAACAAACCGAAATCGCTTCAATGGTCATTATCAGTAGAAACTTGTGATGTGCCGATGATAATTTTGGATCGAAAACGCTTTCGTGCTGTTGGTTTTTTGTGACTTTTGGGTTCTTTCTTTCGGATTGTTTTAGATTTTTATTATAAAACTTAACAAACATAATATTGATATTCATTATTCTAAAAGGTCCAACAGAACCTGCTTATAGGAGTTTAAATTCGTGCTGGATCTCCTATTCAGTTTGGGTTTGTTGTGTATAGGTACTTTGTAAAAAGCGTAATAAATTGTAGATCCTTTAAATTACCATGAAATACCCAACAGAAACAAACGTCTCATTGCACGTCTTAATTTCCCGATATCTATCAAATAACTGTTGGGCGGACCAACTTCCATGACCAAATCTCTTTGGAATTCGGAACTATACCTACAAAGTGCACAACCTATGTCAAATGAGCATCCAAGCGATAGAATAATTGGCCATTAGATATCCCATACACATACTGTGCATTCTACAAGTACATGTGTATAATAATTCTGCCAAACTGATCATATTGCAATGATCAGCTTTTACATGCTAGTCTAGGAAAAAAACATGTGTAGGTAAATGACTGCAAAAGGTTATGGTAACATTCCAAATTATTTGCAGGTCATGCAAAGGCGACCATGTTTATGCTGTTGTTTTTGTTTCTCAATTAAGACTTTCTTTATGGAAATTTTCAGACTCATCAGCTAAAGTAATTCCGCAAAATGTCTTCCGCTATCTAGATGAAGTAATAGCCTGCATATGTACCGTTCTTTAGCCAGCCATCTTCATTCAGTGGATATTCCCAAGTACTAAGGTAAAACTGCAACCAATATTAAATGTCAGCAGCATCAGTGTCTCCAGTGGAGATTGGACAGTTCATTACATCGCATTGCAAGATGATCACTATCGACGTACAGTGACCAACAACATAAATAAATGGAAAGAAAGTTGTAATTGCTGCCTATAACAAAAATTTTCTTGATTTCATAAGACACACTACATAACGAGCACAATTACAGCGGTAACCGAAGTAGGAAAGAAACATTAGAAGATCATTCCTTTTCGATCATCCTGTATAGAAGCGTTTTGAAGAAAAACGTGGCCACATCGCAATCTTGCAAGCGGCAACTCGGCGCACTTTGATCTTTTATTAGAAAAGAAAAGGAAAAGAAGCAACGGCATTCCCTTTCTTCTGTCACTATTCACTTGTTTAGATGCAAATTTCGTACTTCAGCTTCGATTCGGAATAATAAAATCACGAAATCAACTGTGGTTAATTTTCGAAATATTCTTAGACTGACCTCAGATAAACTATTGCACGTTAGTTTCATCCAGGGTTACATAAACGAACGTTGTCACTTCACGATTTAATTTTAATAAAATGATGAACCTATAGAATAGTTTCTTCGGTAATAAATCGACGAATTCGAGTTTGACCTCATTAGCACGCAAACAAACCTCAATCATTATCAGTAGTGCCATAAAGCGACAACTAACATAAACATTTTTCCGATAAAATAGATAATTCGAGATTCTTTCCAACTCATAACTTTTTCAAGATGGTTATTCAAAGAGTGATTCCACGTGTCGCTCTACTTATCAACCACTCAACAACACTGAATAAAGCTTACAATTCGCGTAATGTAGTTTTGAGGTTAATCAGCACAAGTCAATGCAATTTCGCAGGTAAGACAGGTAACTGCCACCTTGATTTTTTATTTAGACTTTTTGTGTTCGCAGAGCGTTACTTCACAAAGAAACACGAATGGGTGGAGGTTGAGGGAAAAATCGGTATCGTCGGAATATCAGATTACGCGCAGGTAAGCAACTTAAAACGTAGAAGAGATTGAATCACGTGGTTACAGAGTGCGCTAGGAGATGTTGTCTATGCTCAACTGCCAGATGTCGACAGCGTACTCTCACAGAAAGGTAAAATCTTTGCGTCTTACAAAATTTACTAAATCGGCCTCTTGCAGACGAGTGCGGAGCGTTAGAAAGTGTCAAGGCAGCTAGTGAATTGTACAGTCCTGTATCAGGGCGTGTGGTAGAAAAAAATGAGAGCGTGGAAGAAACGCCATCTCTTATTAACACGTCGTGCTATGATAAAGGTATACTTAAGGCTCTTCGGTAGATGATTCTCTATGTTTGATTAATTTTAGGTTGGCTCTTTAAAGTTGAGCTTACAAATGATAAAGAAATAACGGCACTAATGAATGAATCTCAATATAAAGAATTCTTAAAGTCTGATGAACACCATTAATAAAAAAGTTAAATGTGAAATCATTATTCATAACTTGGTAAACGTACTTTGTACATATTACACTGAATAGAATTATCTTTATCGTTGTATTTTAATTGCAACATCGTCGATTGCGCGCTTTCAGCGGCTATCGTTGTCACCAACCTTTGCAATATTTTGATTATCAATTAAAATTATGTGTCTGTCCCAAATTTTTGACACACACTAGTGCAGGAAGTCTATTCCAGGAATTTGACCGCTGCCACTGGGAGTTCACCTCTGGATTTCAACTGCGCTAGGTGTTTCAGCGTCAGACACACAAGCGGACGCAAACTCTAAATTATCATTGAATAAAAAATCTTTTATTCAATGATATTATCATTGTATATGATATTATGTAATAAAGTAGGTAACAAATTTTTAAGAAAAAAGTCAATCGTCCTGGTAAATCACTTCAATTGGTTTGAAAATCGGCTCTAAAAGACCTTAGAAAAGGTTATAATGTTTTGGTTGTCTGTAGGGAAAGTTATTCAAAAGCAACTTCGCAACAGCGTGGCTGATCATTGATTAAAATAACACCATTTTTGAGAGGAAAGTCGAACGTTCCAACCTTCAGTTATTAATGCTAGGGTTGCAATTCATATCTGCACACCCTATAGAAAGGGTTACACTTTTTGATACACCATTTTTTGTAAAATATGTGATTTGATTTGATGTGTGTTGCTAAACCAACGAAACCATACCTTATTGTTTCTATTGCTCATTTAGTGATAATGATCTAATGGTGATGAACTTATGATAATGATTGTAAATTAAACCATTAGTGAGTAAAGCCAACTCTCAGCTGCGCTTGAAGGAGTAACTTCTCATTGTATTAAAATAACACAGATTTTTGAAAAAATTCAATCGTCATGAACTTCAATTAGTGATAAGGTAATTATTTTATTGTTCCTTTACACATATTAGTCTCTTTTGAAAAACAATATCTTAAAATATATACAATACGAGGCTTGTTCAATTGCAACCCATCTGTGGTCAGCCCTAGCAACACAGTTCTGTATAAAAGCGTTTATCGTAAACTAAAACCCTACGTATACAGTGATATTCATGTAGAAGTAGACATAGGTCCTATAGGAATTTCCTACGTCTACTCTCTTTGAAGGACGCCTAACTTTATGCAACCTAAATAACTATATACAACAAATGAAGATCTGCCTGTCATATTAATTAATTTGAATATTATCGTCCGTATTCGAATTTTCGTTCGTGTGCGATGTATTCAACTAAAGACAAAGTTGATATTTAATTCCAATTGGTAAAGTGCCAGTAACAGTTAAAGGAGCTAAATGAGCTTAAAGCTCTATAAGCGATGCAGGCCTATGGTATATTACTACTGCCTACCTACATAGGTAGGTACCTACTGTAATTTTCAAGATGCCTACCTACCCCTTTACTCCTTGTTGAACTGTTGGTATTTCAGAAACGGCAAAAAATTATTTACAGTACATAATACTTTTAATTATTAATAAATAGGTACTTTTGTTTTTGTTACTATTTAATGAAAATACAAATTTAGCAACTAGATAACAATATTGAGCATTTGTAATAAAGGGTACCGACGTGATTTCGGAGACGCAAAATCGTTTACAAATTGGTCCAAGTTTTTAGTTTCTTCACATTCCACAGCCATCAACACCAAGGATTCAGGGAGAAAAGGATTTCATCAACAATCGGTGTTCTTAATAAGTTCTTTCCTCGTTTCAATACTGAAAAGAAACCTTTCATTTCCCTCAGTTGCAATAGAGAAGGTAGCAAATATCTGAAAGCCAAATACATTACATTTCTATTACCTATAAGGAGGTACGTGTGTATTTTGATTTTTGATTTTTTAGGATACTGGGGGAGGGGGGCACGGCCCTCTTCAACCCTCTGAGGTGTATTGAATAGGTACTACATCAACAGACAGAAATTAATTAATTTATTTGTTTAACCAGACACCATACAGAATAAAAATTCCAATTACATGGCAGTGGCCAGTGGGGCTCTGAACATACATTAGGGCTTATAGTCAGGGAGACATATCTGAACAAGGCTCTCTAAATCATGTCTAACGGCGTTTTGTGCTACAAACTGGCAACAGGCGGTTTTAGACTAATTTGCCCCCGCTGAGAACGATACGCCCTGTTGCCAGACCCGATTTTGACATTTAAGCCCTTAAATCCAAGATGGCGGCCAAAATTGCCGTTTTTTCGTTTATTTCGAGCCCACGAGGCAGCCACTGAACGTTTTGGGTAGTTTAATGGTAGAATAACATCTATTACACACGACGACACCGTTTAGGCACACTTTCGTATTCATATTAAGGGCGTAAATGCCTAAACTCCGCTTAAAAACGTCAAAAATGCAAAAATTCATCATTTTTTTTCTTTCTGACCGGTTGTCGGCGTCCAATATGCATTCATATGGTCAAGGTCAAGTTAACATTTAAGTATGTGGGGACCTCCAGCCTAGGGCCTAAATATCAAGATGGCGCCTGGAAAGTTCAAAAACAGTGAAAAAGTCGTTCTTTTTGCCGTATTTTTACTACACTGGCCACTCTTTACGTTCGCTGTTCATTTTGGTGTTCTGGAACATTATTATGAGTAATTGCGACTGCCACCCCGGACGTAATACACCCCCGCGAGAGGGGGGTGGAATTATCATCTCCAGCCGAACGGATTCGCGAAACTTTCAATCAGTGCACTCGCGTGTTGTTGTGCATCTTCGTCGGCGCCGCTCCTGAAGTTCGTCTGTGTCGCTTCGATGGCGTCTTCCACCTACGCCCGATGTTTCATTTAATATTAAAAGTCAATTAATTTTACATGTACCTAAGATTACATTCAATGAAGATATTTTTTAATGTTATTGTTTAATTGTCATCGTTTTTTTCCCCATGCTGCCTTTCAAATTTTGCATTGTGTAGGTAGGTACTTCTAAAATATTTTAACAAGTTTTATTCTGTAATTTCCTTAAGCCAGAAGATGACCGTTGGTCGAAACTAGTCGCGGCTTTTACAATTTGTCTATTAAAATAGTATGGGGAATGTTTTGCGTTTTTTTGGGATTTAACGACTCACTCTAACATTTACATTAACATTAGGTAAGCTCGTTCATACTAATTCAACATGATATCACATTACCTACATTCTAACGCATGAAGATGCTCTATTCAAACGTTAGGCCACATCTCTATTGATCGTAGAATGGTGCTCATGTCTTCATTCACGGTGATGACTTCCATTTGACTGTTTCAGTTTTCCCTAGGCCATGCAGCATGAATCATCCTCTGGTGGTGATTTTAACAGTAGGTACCTACTATGTGTAATATGCCAAAAACAATCCCGAGAGAAAACGTCAGTGCTTCAAGAGACAACGTTTAACTCTAACGTCCTTATTCTTGCATAGTACCTTCTTCATAGTATTAGTGCTCAATATTCTAAACAGTTTCGACTGACAAGTGTTACATTTTAATTTAAAAAAATCAAAGAAAACTTGGGAAGCATGTTTTAATATATTTGCCCTCAAATTACGCCGCCAAACCAACTTCTGCCGCTTGGTTCCATAGTTAAAGTTTATAGGAGACGAGTCCCCACTTCCGCAGTTAAGCCCTTCAGTTGTGTAACATCTAGAATGATATTCGCAATTCGCATATTATTGCTCCAGGCTATCGAAATGGGGAATGTGTGGTCCGTATAGTAAAAATACGGCAAAAAGAACGACTTTTTCACTGTTTTTTGGACTTTCCAGGCGCCATCTTGATATTTAGGCCCCAGGCATATGGTGCTGCTGGAGGTCCCCACATACTTAAATGTTAACTTTACCATATGTATACATATTGGACGCCGACAACCGA